CATTCCAAAAGGTGGGGCTCCGTCAAGTAAGAGCGGTAATATCAGACCCTGGAATTGGGGCAGGGCCATCAATGCCAGCAAGACGTTACAAGGCTTAAATTGTAAGTGATGCAAAGTCACTGGAGAGCACTGACTAATGGAATTCTTGGTTAAACCCATAGATTTAAAAGATCAATTTAGGTAGAGACTTAAGTCAGGAAGATTACTTCAGAAAACATTAATCATAGTGGTGTTAATGAAAAGAGATGGTAGCAATTAGATGTAAGACATCTAACAAACAAAATTTTCAGGATGTAGAAAGTTACAGTCAATGCTAATGCAGGTATGGAGTGAAAGATCAATCAGGGGTTTCTGGCTGGGAGGCTGAGAACATAGAGCTGCCATTAATAGAAATGGGAAAGTTGTGAGAAAAATTTATGCTGGGGTGGGTGAATCTAATTAGAACAAATGTGTTTGATTTTAAACAAACTACATCTGAATTGGCAGCAATCACATACATCCTGGCCCAGTATTCTAATTTCTCTAAAACTAAGTTATAATCATTAAGTTTTAATCATTAAATAATTTAGTGGAATGCATTTATTGTCCAGCCCCTCCAGAAATAACAAACTGCTAAGTGAACTAGTTCTTTACTTTATTCACCTTAAATGTATTTTTTTGCGACAAAAAGGATTTTGATAAAGACTTTGATAAAGACTTTGGCCCACCTATTCATAGCATGTAGATATTGTATATGTCCATAACCTTAGATCTAGGATAATTTTCCTTGGGATTAGGGTTAAAAAAATGACTATGCAACCTTTTAATATCATGCTTGAGCATTTTCTAACAAGTCCATCTAAGGGTCATCTGTTTTGTGGAACATAACTTGACTCAATATTCTCAATTGATTAGGGTCCAGATATTTTATAAAATTTATAGAAAACTGATAAATTAAAATCACATTTTTTTTCTGCCTGGTAGAAAAGATAACCACAAAGATAGGTTTGGTTGCCCTGTAGTACATGTGCAAGTTTGATTTGATTTAGTGATCTTATTTTGGTATGCTTTTTTTCTCCCCACAGATTACATAAATCCTAATTTCTTATATCTTTGTTGAACTACCATTGTCATTCTGCCATTTCTCTCAGTAATGAGTTAAAAGAAACATCTATGTGGACTCACTTCCTTTTTGTATAAGAATAATGGTTTTAATGATGAGAGAATCATGCCTTGATTATGTACAAATTTTGTTCCTTCACCAAATATTTAAAGCTTTCTTCATGTGGCAGATCACTCATCCCATCCCTTTAATGATTAATTAATCTCACTTCAACCATCCCAGTCCCACATTGCCCTCCCTAGACTGTACGGTTTGTGTAAAATGAATCATGAGATAAGAGGATTTTTGTAGAAGTGTTCTGAAAGTATTGAAAAGAAAATTGTAAATTTTATATCAGCACAGATTAGCTGTTGTAGAGATCTGGTGAGGGTTGAGGGGAAATGAAGGAGGAAATGCGCAGAAGATGGGGTGCTCTGGAGTGGGTGGCATGATTCTGAGCTCTTTGAAGAAAGGGAAGGAGAAAATAATGATAACTTGAACTAAAGGTAGAATAGAAGAGACTCTGCTAACATTTTTCCAGTTTCAATCTGTGATGCAAGGTCAGCCTTCACTGGATCCTTGTTTTGTGGCTTCTTAATGGTTATAGAAAAATGTGTTCTGGTCATTATGGGGATTCTTTTTTTTTTAAACTTTATTGGGGAACAGTGTGTTTTTTCCAGGACCTATGAGCTCCAAATCAAGTCATTTTCAATCTAGTTGTGGAGGGCGCAGCTCACTGGCCCATGTGGGAATCGAACCAGCAACCTTGGTGTTAAGAGCCTGTGCTCTAACCACCTGAGCTAACCAGCCACCCTGGGAATTCTTAAAAACAAGAAGTCTCTCTGCCCTAGCAGGTGGCATCTTGAAGCTCTTGGATTCAGTCTTTGGATTCTTTATTTAGCAGCAGACAGAACATGCAAGTAAGTTAGAAGCAGCTTCTGCAGACTTGTATCAATCTGGATGCTAGAAGAATGAGTAGAGTGGGCAGACAACCACAGTGATTCCCTTAACTCTCTTTGTGGAAAGGAAAGTTCTGGAATAGAATTGGACATTTCCCCAAGTTTAGAGGTGAGAAAAACGCATCATAACTCAAATGCATCTATTTGGGCATCACAGTTGTTGTGGGTACAAACTAGTTTTTCAAAGAGGAAGGGTCATCAGTAAGAAGAATTTATTAATTCATCCTACATCTTTTTTTCCTGAAACAATTTAAAGCTCATGGGAAAATTTTTTTATCAAAGGTAAGACCCCAAATCCATTTTTCTTTAAACTAATCTTTGACAGCCTATATACTTGCCAGCATGAGCTATATGTAATTTATTTTTATTTATGTTTTATTTTTTTAAGATTTTATTGAGGAATTGGGGAAGGGAACAGTGTTGGGGAATTGGGGAAGGAAACTATTGTGTTTTTTTCCAGGATCCATCACCTCCAAGTCAAGTTGTTGTCCTTCGATCTCAGTTGTTAAGGGTGCAAGCTTAGCTCCAAGTCCAGTCGCCGCTTTCAATCTAGTTGCGGGGGGGCACAGCCCACCATCCTATGTGGGCGTCGAACCTGCAATCTTGTTGTTAAGCGCACATGCTCTCACCAGCTCAGCAGCAGCTCAGTTTGGGCACAGTTCACTGGCCCAAGTGGGAACCGAACCAGCGACCCTGTTGCTCAGAGCTCACGCTCTAACAACTGCGCCACCTGGCCAGCCCAAGTTAAGTGTAATTTAAAGCTGAAGATAGTCCACCACATTTTCTAAAACTTTTTCTATATTTTCTTTTTAACACTTTATTTATTTATTTTGACATTCAAAATTATTTTATATTAATTTTAGGTGTATAGCAAAGTGGTTAGACATTTATATAATTTATGAAGTGATCCCCCTGACTAGTACCCACCTGGCACTATGCATAGTTATTACCATATCATTGATTATATTCCCTATGCCTTACACCCCCATGACTATTTTGTAACTACCAATTTGTATTTCTTAATGCCTTCACTTTTTTCACTCTGTCCCCCACCCCTCCCATCTATCACCCTGATAAATCTAGTACCCATCTGAACCATGCATGGTTATTACCATATTATTGACTATATTCCTTATGCTATAACCTATACCCCCATGACTACTTTGTAACAACGAATTTGTGCTTCTAATCCCTTCTCCTTTTCTACCCTTCCAAGCCCCCTCCCATCTGGTAACCATAAATACGTTCTCTGTATCTATGAGTTTGTTTCTATTTTATTTGTTTGTTTATTGTGTTCTTTAGAATCCACATATAAGTGAAATCACATTTCGTCTGTCTTTCTCTGTCTGACATACTCCACTCATCAAAATACCCCCTAGGTCTACCAATGCTGCTGCAGATGGCAAGAACCCATTCCCATCCATGGCTGAGTATATTCTCTTTATACTCAGAACATAGGTCTTAGGGAAAATACAGGAAGTGCCAAAAAAAAACCTATACACATTTTAAGAAAGGAAAATTGTATTAAAATTGTAATACTCAATATATACCAATAACAAAAGATGAATACAAGTCACGTTTAACTTCTGCAATTACAGGAGGTGCTCAAAGGGTTACCATCAGCATCCAGACACTTCTGATTATAGCGAACTACTGCTTGAGTAACGTTGACCAAAAAATTGTCCATTTGTATACATTCTTTTGGCACCCCCCATATATTAGCATTAATAAGTGTAAGTAAATTATCTTGAGTAAGCCTAAAACATAATACATAGCAAAATATGTATATGTATAAAGTGTGTTAGATTAAGTAGATTGCAAACTGAAAGATTGCCCATACTGATGTTAACTGGAGCCCATCTTGGTTGATGCTTCAACTATTGTCACACCAACCTTGGGAAGAGTTCAAATGCTAGAGTGATGAAGACAGAATTTTTGGCTGGAGGGATTCCAGGCTCTACTTTGACTTGTTGGTGGAGAGGGCATTACACCTCTGCATTTGGATGAGGAGCGGTTTACCTTTTAACCAGTCCATGTTAACAGTTTCTTCAAGATTCATTATTACCTTAAAATGAGTTCTGAAAAAACTCTTGTGCTGGGTCATATAATCTGAATAATCAAAATGAAGTCGGCACTGAATATCAAAAGAAGTAAAACTAATATCATTAGAGGGAAAGAGCCATGTGATACTTGTTCATAGGCTCTATAAGCAATGCTATTGGCTGGAATCCCTGCTCAAGGCCAAGAAAAATACTCAAGTGCAGGTTTATTGGTTATTCACTGAGAGTGAGTACCTGAAGGAGAAGGTTGCCCTTTTACGACACCATTTTTAGTCTTTTCTTCAGAATTCATTACTTCCTTGTAGATAAGTTCTGTAAGAAACAGTTATCAGTGTTATAAAAAACAAATTTCTCCTTAATCCACAGAGAAAATTTATTAGTTAATAACAAGTAATAACATTTTGATGGGGTAGAGTAAATTAAAAATCAACTAGGATTCCTTTATTCCTCTAATTCTACATTTTTTTGCAATAGCACAGAGCCTGGCAAAAGTAAGTGCTCAATAAAGCATTTGCCCAAATAAACATATGAAGAAGACACATTTTACTTCTTTTCTGAAATTGTTTGGGGTTTCTGATGCATTCTAATTTTATCTCTTACGGATTTTAATGGCTCCATTCTGAACATCCATTTTTCTTTTATATTCATTCCCTGAGAGATGGACACACATATTCTCATAACGTCACACTATTACTTTCTATCAATTTTTCAACTCTTACTTCATCATTTTTCCAGGCACAAATCTTGGATTTATAAAACTAAACTTCGTAAAACCCAACATTAAAAAGTTATTACATTTGTTGCCAAACTGGCATCCATTTTTTGGCTTTTTCATTATTAGAGCTAAACTTGTATATTTTCATTTCATTTTACTTTGCTCCTTCTAGCTAAAAATCATTCAACACTACTCATTCTTGCTTTAAAATGACTCACAATTTATACAATCATCATCCTTTACAGGTATTTCTTTCTCCAATTTCTCACAATTCAGTCCATGTCCACCCTCCTCAAGTGACATTTATATCCTGTCACTTACTCAATACGAACCTCTAAGAACCTTCTAGTCTTTATTTAGATCAAATCAAGCCTTTTCTGTCTATCATTTAGGATCTTTTTTTTTACTTAATCCAGTTTGTATGTGCCCATTTTCCATATTCTCCAACACAACATCTTGACCAGTGGAATCTCTTTACTGTTTTTATAGTACTTTTTGCTCATTTGTTTTCCTCTTATGTCTCCAACCTAATAATCCCTCTCTTTTTTTTCTTTTCCCGGTTTACAATTATTATTTTCTTCAAGGTAGCACAAACATTTCTTCCTTTCAGATCTTCCCTTTATGATTCTCCTCATTTTGACCTAATCATTTGTTATGATCTGCATTTGGTTTTCTGATATTTATTCTATTCTGTCATTATTTATATTAGTTTGTATATCTCTTTATAGTTTCTGCTTTGTTTCACCCTGCGTATAATCTTGATTGTGCAGTATGTGTTCAGAAATGTTTTGCTGAAAAAGTTAACTAATAAATTCATTCATTATTTCTTACTTTAAAGGAGAAATGTCACTTAGGCATATATATGTTCTATTTAAATTATCAAGTTCTATATATCAAGTGAATGAGTTCATGTTAACTATCTTATTTTCTAATGTCTAAAATCATCTCAGACATAATTTTATCCATTTTACATGATAATTTTATGTACAAACATGGAATGTTTAATTCTAAAACTAAATTGAAGTTTGCCCTCCACCATGACAAATACTTTGACAATCAGTACTATTTTTAAAAGTGTCAGTGATTAATTCCTTTCATTCTTGAGTAAATGCAATATTATTAGTAGTATGAAAAGATAGATTAGGCTTTCAGAGCTTTGAAAATGGTCTAAGAAGGTAGCAATTAGAAAATTGTTTGTTACTAAATTGTTTTAAAAGGAAAAGCCTTGAGAATATTTTCATTTAATAAAGTAAAATGAATACTTTATTTAAGAAGTAGAGTCCAGTCACCTTTCCATTCTTCAATGGTGTGTTCTCTTTCATCCAACTGTTTGTCATATATCTGAGGTGGAGGCTG